TCGTGTCCCTTTACACACCTTCCCGGTGACTGAAAGAAACGCACAGCTGCGGCGGCCCGCACACACAGGACAGTCTGCATGAGGCGGCGGGCGGCCTCGGGGTGTGAGGTTTATGGGAGAGAACGCCAGACGCACGCTTACATTTTATTGGGACTTCTGGGCTTTATTCTGTCCGCCGTTACGTTCCTGAACACTCCCAATTCAGGCCGACGCAAATAAAAAGTACGCGGGTTGACACGCGGCCAATGCACATTTTTAACGTGACGCATTTTACCACGCGTTGTGTTTTCTGTTTACAGGTCAATCTTTTAATAGACGCGTTGAGGTTTATTGGGTTGCGCTGAAGTACATCGCCGTGCGTGTTTTTCTATGTTGCGGTGCATAAAACTGCAGCATGCCTACATTGTTTCATCAACGCACACCAACGCACACCAACGCAATGGTTTGATGTGAATGGGGCTCATTTGCTGCGTCTTTAAGTTGAGCCTGCGTTCATCTATGCGCTTGGTGTGAAAGAGCCCCAAGTCATATATATGATACAATTTATCACATATGTCCCTGGAAGATCATCGGCAGGCAGTCACCTTCCAACCCTATGAGATGGCAAAGAGGAACCCCTGATGTCACAGAATATCCCCCGCCGCACGCCGGGTTCCACGCCACCATCTTCCTTTTCCAGGTTCTGCACCGCCATCTTCCTTTTCCAGGTTCTGCACCGCCATCTTCCTTTTCCATGTTCTGCACCGCCATCTTCCTTTTCCAGGTTCTGCACCGCCATCTTCCTTTTGCAGGTTCTGCACCGCCATCTTCTTTTTCCATGTTCTGCACCGCCATCTTCCTTTTCCAGGTTCTGCACCGCCATCTTCCTTTTCCAGGTTCTGCACCGCCATCTTCCTTTTCCATGCTCTGCACCGCCATCTTCCTTTTCCATGTTCTGCACCGCCATCTTCCTTTTCCAGGTTCTGCCCCGCCATCTCACTTTTCCAGGTTCTGCACCGCCATCTTCCTTTTCCAGGTTCTGCACCGCCATCTTCCTTTTCCAGGTTCTGCACCGCCATCTTCCTTTTCCAGGTTCTGCACCGCCATCTTCCTTTTCCAGGTTCTGCACCGCCATCTTCCTTTTCCAGGTTCTGCACCGCCATCCCGCGGCTGGTCCCTGTATGCTGATGCCTTCTTCGATATTTCAGTAGCGCTAAAATGCGGTACACGCCATTCTTGCCTGGGAGAGAATGGAGGGGGGGGACCACATAAAATATGACTTCAGGGGGAGCGTTAAAAAGATCATAAGTGCTCTTGGAAAGTGAGGGTCCCCTTTATGGGCCCATCGCGTTCGAAAACGCATCTGCCTTCCTCTCTCAAAGCGCATTATGCATTTTAATTAATCTCTCCTCCTCCAATCACTGAACCCCATTAAAAATAATGTGAATTAAAATGCAAAGCAGGAGGCATTTTATGTGCATTTCCCGCACATGTGCATTCTTCTTGCAGGCGCATGGGCAATATGGACACGTGACCTAAAAACTGAATTCAGTAAACACATATTGCGCCTTTTTTTTTTTGCCAAACTGTGCAAAAGATGCAGCAAGCAGGATTTTATTTTTAAAGCGCAACCCACCGCTGTGACTTCATAGGTTATAATGATCACGTGCTTTTAGCATGTTGTGAATCTGCGTCGTAGCGCACATGAAACGCCAATGGCGTGAACGCGCCCTGACACGCAAACACTTGGGGGGAGCAAAGGAACACATGAATGAATCAGCTGGTGGTTTATCATTCCTGTACATTGTCCTCCACTTTTGCGGGGAAGACGATAACCTCGTCCTCCATTGAGGAGCGCTCGCACCTTCCTCCGCACATCTGAACAACAGCTGGTTAAGAAGAAGGAAACTTTACCGAAACTGCTTGTTAAATGGCTTCTAATGAAAGAAAAAGGGGAGAGCAATGAGACAAAAGCTGATGTATGTAAATAAAACACAAGTCGGCCATTGACAGAGTGACCTGACTGTCCCCCCTATCCCATCCCATCCCCCCCAACCAACCAACAACCTCATAGTACCTTCCCCTCCCCCATTTGTTGTCTGCAAGGAATGCCATGCAATTGTGTCCTGAGCTGCTTGCATCCCCCTTTGGCGGGCTGTCACTCAGGGTAATGGAGGCTTAATTAATGATGGATAAGGTTTTCCCTCTGCGGACAATGGAGTCTGCAAAAATAAAATAATTAGGTGTTGGTTTCTGCAGAC